TAACTAGCTTAATTGATCGTTATTTCGAGGTTTGTTTGTATGGGCATAAGTATGTTTCTGTTGTTAGTTGCTAGTTTTACATGTAATGAACTCTTCGATTTTCTCCATCAAAAATCTATAAGCTCCATATATGTCTGAAAGTACATTTGTCTTATATATGGAGTACGTTTTAGGAAAGTTATTGTACCATTTGGAAATTAAATGAAGTTCCTGTGTGTTTTCTAACTTACATTTGAAATTAAATAATGCAAGTACGTGTTGTGGTGGTGATAATTATGTAGGGGTGTAAACAAATGGAGATTCAATATAAAAAATCGAATTTGAGGTCGATTAAGGGTCTGTTCACATTACTTAATTTCAGTTCAGTTCAGCTCCTAATATCGTTCTCTTATAAAATATTCATTTCAGTTCAGCTACAATCAATCCAGTTTAGTTCAGTTCAGTTCAACTTAGTTCAGTAAATGTGAACAGTCCCCAAAGAACAATTATGTTGTGAGTATATGAAAAACGCGTTTGGTCAGACTCGCTTCAGTTAAATGAAATACACGAACATAAACTTGGGTTTTGGAAGTGATGTCAATTTTTTTAGTGTGTATTGAGCCTAAACTACTCATGGAGGTCGGTGCAAAAATGCAATCTGGCAATGGAAAGTTCTATTAGAGTTACAAAATTATCAAATTTTTAATTTTATTAATATCGTACTATATCATAGACTGTGTATCAATTAATCATAAATTTTGGATGAGTTAATTAGTTCTCTAAAATGTTAATTAGAGCTAGCGTGGCAAAAAATTACGTTTCAAATCTCATTTAACCTTTATTTTAAGTGGATTTTATTTCGTGTTGGAATGAGAAATTGAAAAGGCTCAAGTTGCATCCGTTTTGAAGCCGAAAAAACTTTCTTCTTTTTTCTTTCTTTTTATTTTTTATTTTTTATTTTTACAAAGGTTTAGATAAACAACAAACTGTATTTATGTTTTTATTTTTCATGTTTATTGATTTTATACTTAACTAGTTTTGTGCCCCGGCGATGCCCGGGTAGTTTATGGACTTTTAAGATAAAATTATACTATCTCCGTTAAATGTTATGTGTAACTTTGAAATATTTTATATCTCTCAAATAATACCTTAAAGTTGTACATAACATTTAACGGAGGTATTACTATAATTCAATTTGATTGAAAATAGAATTCTAAATTAACTTTTTTTGCTACAAAATCAATCTATATTTATCCAACGTGGTACGATACTTGGCGAAAAATTAAAACGCTAAATGATGTTGTCTTGTGGCCTAATTATCAATTTATTATTTGGTATTTTATCGAAAATATAACTCTAAACTAATAATCTTTTTCTAAAATTCTATCCTAATTTGATTGAAAATAGATTTCATTCCTTTTTTTTTATTTTATTTTTATTTTATTTTATCTTATGAAATCTATCCAAAGTGGCGCGACACTTAACGATTTATTTTTTAATTTTATTTTTAACATATGAAGTTTATTTAAATCTATCCAAGATGACGCGACACTTGGCGAAAATTTAGAATGCCAAGTGTCGCTATTTCGTGACCTGGCTAAAAGTTTAGCTTTATATATTAGTTATATGATGTGATGTTTATAGGATGCAATATAATACGCATCCACCATCCAATTATAATTGAGTAAATCATAACAATTCTTGTTGGAAGAATCAACTTACTAATTATTCACGATAATTTGATAAAGTTAGTTATTATGCTACTCAAAAGTTATAGATGGGTCGTAACTCGTAACAACAACTAGTACTGTTTAGACAGTTCGGGTTCGGTTCGATTTCAATTAGGTCGGTTTCAAATTGGTTCAAATGTCTTACGGGTCGGTTTCAGTTCGGTTTAAATAATATCGATTCGATTCGGTTTCGGTTTATTCTTGAGCGGTTTTAATTCGGTTCGGGTTGTAAACAGTTTGGATAATAAACAGTTCGGTGCAGACAGGTTGCGGTTTGTTAACGGTTCAATATAAATGGTTTTTATCCCGGTTCAAATAGTTTCGGTTTAGAAACAATTTCAGGTTAGAAAGAGTTTGGTTCTTTTTCAGTTTAGTTTATAACTGGTTTAATTCTTTTTCGGTTCAGTTTATAACTAATTCGGTTCTTAATTTCTTATACGGTTTAACATCATTGGGATCGGTTCCATTTTAAGTTTACTAAATTACGGTTTGGGTTGGTTTTTGATTTCAAAAAATCGATTGTTTATCAAGTCGTTTGGATTCGGGCAATTAAATTGTTTTGGTTTGAAATTTGATAGTACTTGCCAACTTTTTGCTGCTCAACAAGTTTTATATTAAGTCCAGAAATCATCACTTTATATTTAGGCATCATATTATATACAAATTCTCATTGATCTAATAAATACATATCATGTCTTGTTTCAAGTTTAGTCATAGTGTCATACTGATCTTACTAGTTTATTACGGAGTAGATTATAAAAGTTAGTGTATTAATGTACTACGGAGTATTGTTTTACAACTAGGTTATTATCTGCTTCTGATTTAATCATTTAATTAATAGTGTCATAGTCATGATTTGATGAGTTCTTGTGAAATCGAAATTTACAATTTGGTAATTCGATACTTGATTAATCAACAAGACTGATAATAATGACTCGTTTATCATTATATATTTTCATAAAATTATGAAGATATTACAAAAGAGTTTGATTTGTATAATGAAAGAAAACATTAATGAATAACAAGATAATATTGATTCGTTCAATCGATCATACGTACACATAGCATCTAACCATCTCATAGTTAAATACTTCGTATTTATTAGTACAAAGTTATAGATTAGTAAACATTATTTTGACTGGATCAATAATTTGAGTTGTAATTTTAAGATTAGGTAAATGTCGTTGTTCATGTAGTTTAAGTAGTATAATGATCTATACCATCACTAACTTTAATTTTAATACTCCCTCCGTCCCTTTATCATTTTTGGGGTCAAACTTTGAAAATATTGACCATAAATTACTACTAATCTATAAAACAATAAAACATAATTTAGTCATGAGTGATCTTTATAAATTTGTCTCATTATATATTTTATTAATATCACCTTTTTTTTTTATAATTTTTACTGTTTAATTTGATTTTAATATTCTTTTTAGAGTAAGCAGTTTTTAGCTAATTCGATTTATAAGCGGTTTGGTTTATAAATGATTCGGTTTGCAAGAGGTTCAGTTTATAAACGATTCGATTTATATACAGTTTGGTGCAAACAGGTCGCGGGTTGTTAACGGTTCGGTGTAAACTGTTTTTATCCCGGTTCAAACGGTGGTTGAAAGCGGTTTCGGGTTAGAAACAATTCGGTTGTTTTTTGGTTCGGTTTAGAACTGGTTCGGTTCTTATACGGTGTTACGTTATTCGGACCGGCTCAGTTTCGGGTTCATTCATATACGATTCGGGTCGATTTTAGGTTTAAAAAAACGGTTTTTAATTAGTTCGGTTCTCATATAGATCGGTTTGTTTCGAACAGTTAAACGATTTGGATTTAAAATTTGAGAGCATTAACAACAACTAAAATTTATTGTTTTTCGATAATTGATCATGTGGAAGCAAGTCTCTCTCTTTATTTTTTTTTGAAAGAAAGAAAGTCTCTCTCTTTATTTATTTATTCATATATATATTTTTCTTTTGATAACGACTTAAGAGCAAGTCTTGGTCGTCGTACGTCGTTAGTAAACAAGTTGCTTCCCTTTTTTAACGGTATGGTAGAATATCCACTAATTTTACAAGCTAAAAGCACATACACTTTGTTTCATACGAAGTAATATTTTTACCCTTTTTGACATTTCACTCTACTTATGTACTTACTTTGAGCGCGAGCTTGTGCCAAATCGAGCCATTTTAGTGTCAGTTCTAACCAACTCTTGTGTCAGCTCAGCCTATTTCCATCTCTACCACAAAGGTTATTATGATAGTGATGTTTTAAGATCATTTTTAATGTCTAAATCACAATTTTATTTGTTAATTGATTATAAAAAAATACTTTTTTTTTTTTCTTTTTCATTATTATTATTTTACGTTTTTCTCTAATGATATAAAAAATTTGGTACATCTTATGGATCTAGAATTATTAATGAAGAAAAATACAACAAGATTCCACTACTTGTCAATAAATAAAGACATATGTATCATTAAAATATAAATTACTTTTTTGCTATGGAACCTCCTAAGATATTAATAGCGACAAAATTATGAAGAATTAACGCAATGAGTTCTAATGATAAAAGTTATGTCTTGGCAATTAAATGTATATTACAATTTATATTGTTCACCATGATCATGTGCACTTTGTTTATTCAAAATATCATTCAAAGTACCAGGTACCAATATGGATACAGGTGTGTATTGCTTAATGCATGTTGCAACAGGTATAATGATCATAGGATAATATACAAAGGAACGCACATTCTGACGGGTTTCATATCTAAACAAATATTTTGAGCTACGTACGTAAGTTACGAGTAATTTTTTTCATACTTGTTGTATGATTTGTCAAATTAATTATAATGTTCTCATGTGATATTATTGTCATTATTTTTTATTGCATGCTATATACATATATGTCATCGTTCACTAAAAAAAGACGATAAAAAATTATGGGAAAAAAAGGTAAGACCCTACAAGACCCATATGGTCCGGGTAAGGATCTTAAAAATTTAGACCCTAATGGTCTGGGTAGGGTAAGGTTATAGGAAAGAAGTTATAGATAGATACGAGTCCAGGTATTACTAGACCCTGCGCAGACCCTACCCAGAAGGAAGAAAACAGAAACCTTGACTAGAGACGACTTGGCATAGTAAACGATGGAAACTTATTACACAAGAAAACAGAGACCTTGACTAAAGACGACTTGGCATAGTAAACGAGGGAAACTTTGCAACTAGTGGAGCACATTGTATGGTTTTGCCTTGACAAGGATATGATCGATTATATAAACCGATGTATGTAACCAATTAACCATAACATATCTCTTACTAATTAAGCATTTTCATAAACGTTACTTAATTAGCAAACAACATGCATGCTTTTACTTTGCCTAATATGTTCCTAATTCTTTTGCTAGCATCGTCCTCTTTCTTCGAACCCCCTTATTCGGTCTCAGTAGAGGCTCGAAAATTAGCCACTTCTAATGGCATATTCAAGGTCAATCTCATCCATCGCGATTCACCACTTTCGCCTTACTACAACTCTTCCATGACACCACAAGAGCGCCTAAAGAAAGCACCCCTAGGCTATATATCACATGGCCATAATATTCAACTATCCTCAAAATATTATAGCCTAAATGATGAAAATTCATATGCTTTAGTTCCTAATGGTGGATCATACCTCTTGGAAATTGCCCTTGGTACCCCAGAAGTCGAATTTTTAGCCGTGGCAGATACGGGTAGTGACCTTATTTGGGTCCAATGTCAACCTTGTAACAATTGTTTCCAACAACAATCTCCACTCTTCGATCCATCCAAATCTTCGTCCTTTCATTTACTCCCTTGCCCTTCTTCGGATTGCGCCCAACCAGATCTCACTACTAGTTGTGCTTCGATTAATAATAATAATTACAACAGTTACGAGTCATCATCACTGTGTGCTTATCAAAATAGTTACGGTGATAATACTCAAACTATGGGCATCTTAGCCACTGAAACCCTTACCTTACCCTCTCCTGATGGTACCTCGTCGAGTCTTTCGACCACATCCGTTTTCGGGTGTGGGTCGTACCAACAAGGCTCGCTTGGCACCCAAGGAGAAGGGATCGTTGGACTAGGGACAGGCCCGTCTTCCTTGATCTCGCAACTCGGTTCAAAAATCAACTACAAGTTCTCCTACTGCTTAGCTCCTTTAACTTCCGACGTCTCAAGCAAGCTTACCTTTGGAGCCGATTTAAAAGGCTCCGAAGTAGTGTCAACCCCCTTCCAAATAGGAGAAAACCCCACATTCTACCACCTTACCCTCGACAGCATTAGCGTCGAGGGTAGGGATAACCCGGTCCAAATCCCGGTAGGTATGGACATGATCATCGACTCTGGTACCACTCTTACAATGCTTCCATCTAACATCTACAACGACTTAAAGGCTGCTTTGGTGAAAGCCATTGGACTTAACACGGTACCGAGCCCAATCGAAGGTCACGATCTCTGTTACAATACAGAGTCATCAGGGCAATTTAGCCCTCCAAACGTTGCATTCCAATTTCAAGGGGCCGAAGTCGTGTTAAAGACAATCAATACATTTCGGCAGATTGAGGACAATGTGAGTTGCTTGGCAATGTTAGCAACGGATAGTACTCCGATATTTGGGAATATTGCTCAAGTTAATTTCGAGGTCGGGTATGATTTACAAGCTAAGCAAGTTTCTTTTGCTCCAGCAGATTGTACTAATTAAGTACGAACTACCTTTAATTAATCGTTATTTCTATTTTTACATATTGTACTTCCTTATGGTAAGGTTTGTTTGTATGGGCACACACAAGTATGTTTGTATTGCTATTTCTTCGTGTAATGAAAGTTTCGATTTTCTGTATCAATAATTCAATATGCTTTAAGCTCCATATATGTCTGAAAGTACATTTGCCTTATATGTATGGAGAACGTTTAAGAAAAGTTTTTATATCATTTGGAAATAAAGTTCTCTTTTTTTTTTTTTCAAGACTTTAGATTGAAGTAATGCAAGTACGTGTAGTAGTGTCGTGGACTCGTGGTGATGATTATATAGAGGTGTAAATAAGCCGAGACATAATTATAATAATAAAAAAAAAACCAATTCGTATAATAATATTTTTTTATTTTTTTTAAAGAAATTCGAATAATAAAGTTGACTAAAATTCAATTTATGTTTTGAGCATATGAGAAACGCGCCGAGTTTGAACAGTTTTTGAAGCTAGTAAATGAGATTAAATATGAGCATAAATATATTCATCCATTTAATTAATTAATTAACTTCATGAACAATTTCTTTATAAACTTTTTAGATCAAATAAGGTCGTTTATAAGATAAGCTCAAATTGTGTTTAATAAAAGTTTGACTTTTTTTTTGAGATTTTTATGTGTCAAAATAACAATACAATTTTTTTCTAAAAAATTATTCTTGATAAACTCGTCTCCATTTAAAAATTGAGCAATTTACAAACACTTAAACAACCCCCTAATAAGCTTATGATCAAACTCGCTTAAGTTAAATGAATTGCACAAACATAAACTTTTTTTTTTGAACGGGGCACAAACATAAACTTGGGTTTTGGAAATGATGTCAGTTTTGTTTGTGTGTGTAGAATTGAGCTTAAACCACTCATGGTCATGGAGGTGGGTGCAAAACTGCAATCTGGCAATCAACGTCTATTAGAGTTACAAAATTGTAATTTTTTTTAAAAAATAATTGCACTACGTGTATAAATTAATAATAAATTTTATCATTTAGCTGAGTTAGTCCTCTAGAGCCAACGAGAAAAAAAGTCACGATCTTTTATTTTGCGTTGGTATAAGAGTAGGCTAAAGTTTTATTATTCTTTTTTTTTAATCTATAGTTGATGTTTATACGAAAATCCGATGCAATATATCCACTGTCCAATTATTACTGCATATTCTGTATATCACAACATTTCTTGTAGTTGAAAGAATCAGCTTACTAATTAATCACGATGATTTGATAAAGTTTGGTATTACGTTTCTTAAGTTATAGATTGGTCTTAAACTCTTAACAACTTCTAAATCATATTGTCCTTCGATTATTGATCATATGAAACTATGGGAGCAAGTCTCTCTCTTTATTTATTTATTTATCTTTTGATAACGACTTGGGAGCAAGTCTAGTAGACAAGTTGCTTCCCTTTCTTAAGGGTATGGTAGAATGTCCACTAATTTTACAAGCTAGAAGCACATACATCATGTTCATTATCTTTGTTTCATAATATCTTACCCATTTTGACATTTCACTCTGCTTGTGTGCTTATTATGAACACATGTTTTTTTACTAATAAACAAACCACAAAGTAAAGATGCACACAAACAGGATTGTGACGAGCTGGGCCGTGTAGGTCACTAGGCCTACGTTCCGTACTAGCGGGTCGTGTCTAGGATGGTCCAAGATTTATGTTGTGTCAATCTTTCATAAATGGTACCCATACATAGCCCAATCTATGTGTCGTGCCATGTCCAGCCACCTAATAATTTATACTATTATTTTTTTGGTTGATTAGTTAAATATAAGCGAGTCAAAATGCATGCCGGCCCGTTATGGTCGTGCCAAATTTTGAAAATGAAGCCCTTGCATATCCCATGACTCATCGATGTGTCTCTCTTGTCATGTCACACTTATGACGAGCTCGTGCCAAGGCAAATCGAGCCATTTTCATGTCATGTCTAACCAGCTCTACCACAAAGGCTATATATATTATGACAAGGATTTTTTTTTTTTTTTTTTTATTTTTTTGAAGCCATGATAATGATGTTTCTAGATCATTCTTAATGTATGTTTTCTAAATCACAATTTTATTTGTTAACTGATAATCAAAGGTAATTTATTATTATTATTATTATTATTATTATTATTATTATTATTATTATTATTATTATATCTCAAAAACATAAATTAGTGGGAAGCCGAGATACAATCTGGGCCCCCACTCCTCTAGCTATAGCGAAGCCTACCCTAGTGAATATATATATGAGCTGTAGCACGAGCTCCAATGTCTTGCGTCGTCAAGAACCTCTGAATCCGCTTTAGCAACACAACAAACTCCTTCTCTAAATCCCCAAGCGAAGAAAATGAGAAGGGAATGAAACCATATCCAATAGCCAGACAACGAGCTTCATACTTAACCCGCTTTCGATAAGCGGCATTAGCCACAACCCGTCCTGGAACAAAGTCGGATAGCCCTGTTTGTGTCAAAGGAGAAGACCCTGTGAAGTCGACACATACATCACGACCACGATCCCAAGAATAAAGTAACACATCGGCAGGTCTGAGAGCCCCGTCATTATTCCCTCCAGATAATCCTATGTCAACCTCCTTTCTTGCTGAAATCCTAGATCTGTAGCAAATATCAACAAATGTATCCCGAACAACATTGTGCCGATGTTTAATACCTACAATGCCAGCACATGACACCGCATGGTCGCCGAATACATCCACAATAAAAACCCGAGAGCAAGCAGAGCACGGTGTCGAGACAGAGAACAATGGAACACTCATCCGATCCGATAACACAACACACATCGGTATGTCTTAGCGTTCATCGTCTGACCCAATCCAGAATAGGGACTGCCCTAAGCCAAGCAGAGGTGTGATCACCCTGCTGCGACTTCCACAATGCCGACTATCAAGGAGACAAAGAAAAGGTGGATTCTGCAGAAGCGGCAACCTTTGTGAAATATATATTTGTCAATTTCTTCATGAGTTTAGGGGCAGCGACTTCACAAGGATTACCTATAATGTCAGACTTAACCGTTCCAGTAAACAGACTCAACGCATCCTCAAAAGCTCGACCAAGACCCACAATACCAGTACGACGCAGAAGCTGCGTCTGCAGCCCAGCAGACTGCAACCGAGAAGCAAGAAAAGCATAATGACGAACATCACCTGCGGACACCAAGCCCTCCAAAAGCAAATGGTAAGATGGCAAGACGCCACTGCCAATCACCAAACCCGGGCCCCGAATTACTAACAATACGCTTCAAGGAAGATCGAAGAGCCTCGTCGAAAACGCGCTGAACCGTCTCGAAAGCACCTGGAGGACAAGTACGCAAGGCAAAGTAGAGTTTAGAAACTCCAGTACATGCCCTAATTAACAACAGGATTATCCAGCATAGCAACCTTATTCATAAGCGCAATGGTCTTGATCGCCCTCTGCATCACAAGCTCACCACTAAACCTGGAATCAGAACTAACGGACCACCAAGCAGTTTAACACCATGCAATGGTCGAGCAATAGAAGGGGGCAAAACACCCACAAGCCTGCACTTCGAAGGTCTTTTGTAGGTCAGAAAGCCTCTTCTTGAAGAAAGGGATCCGAAACTTCAGTTTTTTCCACATTAAGATGCAACCCAAAACGAGGTCCTTCCTCCATAATCAATTGTAGAACCTTCCCTACCACCAAAGTGTCTCCAATAATAGTGTCGTCATCCAAATACCACGCTTGAAGACAAACCTCAAAAGTATCTCTGATTTTACACACAAGAGGTTGTAAAACCAAAGAAAAAAGGAGAGGACCAAGGGATTATTATTATTATTATTATTATTATTATTATTATTATTATTATTATTATTATTATTATTATTATTATTATTATTATTATTATTATTATTATTATTATTATTATATTTTTTTTGGGAAATTCTCAATGGTACTCATGTACTTCTTTTTTTTCTCAATGGTAAACACTAACTTTTCTAATTATCTATGGTAATCAATAATTAACTAAACTAATTCAATGGTAAGTTTTTGACATTAATCCTTTAATATTAGCCTAACTATCGTTAACTTAAGTAAAAAAGTCTAATTTACCCTTAAAAATCAGTTTTCCCTCCAAATTAGATTGCCCTTTTCCCTCCTAATCCAAAATCCCCAAATTTTTTTCTTTATAAACCCTAGAAACAGAAATCCCCAATTCATATTTCCCCTGTATTTCAATTATTTGCAATTAAGCTAAATTTCTCAATGAAATTCTCTCGTTCTTCTTCTGTTAGGGGTATCACAATTGACGAGAAGCTTGATTGGGTGAAGCATGTCCATTGCTATTGCAAACCACCCCAGGCTGCTGCTATCATGGTTTCGGAAACGGCAAAAAACCCACGAAGGCTGCTGCAGGTCTTGCGAATTTTTTGCGTGTCTGAAGGAGGAATTAGAGGTTAAACAGAGTCCCATTGTTGCTTTGAATGAAAAGGTGGATGGATTGGTGAAGTATATTAAACATTGTTAAAATTGGTCGATTATGTACTTTATTATGGTAGTTATTGTTGCAAATCGAAATTTAGATGATGTAATTAGGGAGAATTGTGGTAGCCTTAGTTTCAGTTAAGTAGGTGTTTATGTATTCCCTAATTATGTACTACTTTCTAAATGAATAAAAGTAGATGAATTTCCCTTATGTTGCATTCTATTTGTTCTGTATCAACAACATTGAAATTACAGATATTGCATGCATATAACACATGCATATAACATATAACACATTGAAATTACACATTCAAAGTGACAGAGATAAACCAAAATCAGCATATTACCTAATGTTATCCAAAAACATCAACTGTCATAAAGCAATTGCATCATTAACTAATGTTGTCCCAAAAACAAGTCAGCATACATAAGCTGATATCAGTAACTAAATGTTTCCAAAACAAATACATCAACTAAAATGGGTGTGCATGCTTAAACTAAGGAATAGGCTGTGATGCAAACAGACCAGTCATAGCCTTCTTTGCTCTTGGGGATCTTCTTACTGGTTGAGAAGAAGATGTAGGGGCTGGATCTGGTTGGCTGAGAGAAACACCTTGAGTCTTTCCTCTAGGAGATTTCCTTAATGGTTTAGAAGAGGTTGCTAGAGCTTTCTTTTTCTTTGATTCTGCTGCTGTTGCTTGCAAACCAGCCTTCTCTTTTCCTGTCATTCCACCTTGACAGGTCTATGCATTGTGGCCAAAGGTTTGGCATTGGCTGCACCTGACTGTTTTAGATCTTTTGCCCTTGGCTTGCTCACCCTCTTCCCTCCTTCTGTTTCTTGCAGGTCTGCCTATCCCTCTCTTCATCTGGGGTGGGGCTGTCTCAGGATACTGACTTTGTGGCCACTGCTCCACATCAGGGATTGCCTTAATGGTGTTGCCATAAGTCAGTTTGTACTTGGTGATTGAGTACCATTCACTGACATACTTATGAGGGTCATCATGTGAGTGTAAGATGGCCCTCATGGAATGCTTACATGGCAAGCCAGTCAACTGCAATGCATTACAAGCACAAGTACCTGCCCTCAGATTTACAGGTAAGACTGATCTCCCATCCAACACTTCATATTCACCTTCCCCACTCACCAAGCACTTGCATGATCTTGATTCTTGGCTAATGACTTGGAGTCTTCTGACTATGTTTGGACAGATATCACCTCTCCATTTTTCACATGCCTCCCTTCTAGTAGCCATCCTGACCATGGTAAGCCTCCTCACACCTGTTATATTCAAGTAAGGTTAGGGTCAAAATGTCACTGAAATACAAGTAAGGACACAACAACCTAGGCAAGTGACTAATATTACCTTCTAGCAATGTCATAACAGGTCTACACCTATCAAGGCCTAATGTGGAGTTGAAACTTTCCACAAAATTTGATTTGTTGACATATAACTTTATAGCTGGATTAAATGCATGCTTAGACCACACTGATTGTGGTCCAAGCTTAGAAAACCACACTACAGCCAATGGATTAGCCTTTTGCAAACGTTCCATAGCCTTTCTAAAAGTAAAGGGATTAAATGCTCCACAAGCCAACCAAAATAATGAGAACATTAACAAACCAGGGAATTGTGGTTTGAAATTCTTCAGTAAATGTTTGCAATAGTATCTCCTTCCCACTTTAGGCCATAACTCCAGAATTGCAGCCTCAATACCCTACCAAAAACATACAGAAGTGTTAACTTAGTGTCAGGTAGTATATATATATTACATAAATGCAAAAATTGACCATTAAAGATAGAATCATTACCTTCTGCCTGTCAGAGATAATACACCATTCATCCCCTCTTCCACTATCTTTTAAAGCATTCTTCAAATGCCATATAAAGAACTTCCATGTTTCAGCATCCTCTCCTCCCACAATTGCCCAAGCAATTGGAAAGATCTCATTATTACCATCCAAGGCTACTGCTGACAAAAGCACTCCACCAAAATGACCTGTGAGATGAGCTCCATCCACCCCTATGAGACTTCTGCAACCAGATTTGAGACCATCCAATGAAGCTTTGAAGGCAATGAAAATACTGCTAAATGCCAGAGGTCTTTCAGGGTGGTTTGCATCTTTCCATGCACAGTGAGCCAAACTCCCCGGGTTTAACTCTTTGATGACATCACAATACATTGGCAGATGTTTGTATGACACATCATGCCTGCCATGGATCTCCTCTAAGGCTTGAGTTCTGACTTTGTACAAAGTAGACTGAGCCATATTGACCCCATATCTCTGGAACAATAGGTCATTCAATGACTTTGCAGGGATGTCATTGTTTGCTCTAATGTCATCTAAAAGTACTCTCTTTGCCCATTTGCAATTCACCATAGAATTTCTGAGCTCAACCCCTTGGCAAGTATGTTCTGAATTCTCAATGGACTTAATAGCCCATGTTGTGCCATCTGGAAGGAGAGAGGCATGTAATCTCCAATTGCAACTCATATCTAAGCATGAAACTGAGTACCTGAAGTTTCTTGCATAGTCAACAATGATGGCAAATCCACATTTTATGCAATAGTCCCTTACAACATCTCTCAAATGTTGCTTATCTGTGAATAACTGCCATGGCTTCAACACAATTTTACCAAAAACTCATCCTTGTATACCTCACCATTGTTGTATAACTTTGCAAAATAATTGTCCTGCTCATTTTAACACTAAAAAACAGGCTCCTCAAATGGATCAAAGCCATCCTCAATCAAAGGACCATATTCATCTTCCTGTATATCATCTTCTGTATCTACACTCTCATCAGTGTCTTCATTGTCATACTCAGTTGGACTGTACCCTTCATCTTCTGCATCATCTTCTTCCAGACTCAGTATCTGGTCAGCATCATCCCTAAGGCTAATGCTCAAACTCCTTCTAGTACTACCTACACCAGAAGCTGCATTTTGCTCACTACCACTTGCACTGCTGTTACTCACAACTCCATATCTTTTAGCAGTAGTCCTTGGAACTCTCCTCTTATAGAAGACAAATGCTCTAGAAGACTCACCAGACCCTCTTTCATTTGAGTTTTTACTACACCTAGCAAACTCTCCTATGTTTTCAATAGGCTATAACAGTGATTGGGTTGATGGGTGAGGGGGTTGTGTTTGTTGTGTAAATAAATCTGATGGTATTTGAGTGTCATGGTCTTTAGTAGGGTGATCAATAGGCTGGTTTGGATTCCATGGAGTAGGAGATATGTTAAGCCAATAGTCCACTGTATCCCCCCTCCCTCCACCTTTCCCTCTCCCTCTACCTCTCCCATTCCCTCTACCTGTCTCATTGATAGCCCCTCTACCTCTACCTCTACCTCTACCATTGCCCTTGCCCCTGCCTCTCCCTTTTCCTCTCCCTGTACCAGTTCCCCTACCCCTCCCTTTTCCTCTTACAGTTACAGTCACTGTTGGAGCATCAGGTACCCTATCACTCTCAGTCTCTCTATTAGGTGAATCAATAATGTCAGTCCATTTATCATCTATGCATTGATTAATAGCATGGTCAGTCTGATCCAAATCATATTCATCGATTGGAAGTTTACCTACTGCAATCATATGCCTTTCAAAGTCTTCTTTACTAACAACCTCAGCTTCAACTAACTCAAGCTCACCAGTCTTTCTTTTCCTAGGTGTCAGTTTAGATTTCATGTCAATCACTTTAGGTTGACTCACTACAGACTTGTCCATACTAATGGGTTCAGCTGGTGTCTTCCCTGACATCAGTGACCTAGCAGCTTGGACCACCTTACTATCCTTACCTACTGTTCCTACCCATATGTATATCTCCTTCTTCTCAGGCAAATTACTAAACATTTTCATTAAGTCAGCATCACTTAAAAGACTAACATGCTTCATTTTAAACACATAGTTAAATGTAGGGTGTTCTGGAGTTTGTATATTGTCCCTAGCTGCTTTCTCCCAGCACTCTATAATTAGATCAATCAAATTAGCCTTATCAATGTCCTCAACAACAACAGTCACATCTATACCATTGTATTGAAATTGTAACTTTATATTATCACCCATTCTGCAGCAAATATAAGTAACATGTATAAGCATATAACCTACAACATCAAGTTCAATATTCAAGTAATTCTAACAATAAAACCCAAATAATTAACTCCATACACAACATAACATTAATTTTGCCAAAATAAACAACAAAAAACCAACAACAGTAATAGTAATGCACTAATACCCTACACATTTAAAAAAACAGAGCATGCACCAAATTATAGCGAAAAAAAATACATACCTGACTTAGGATCGCACCTCAAATGGTATAATTCGCCCAAAAATCGAACCTTTCTGACAATCGCAACCTCTTTGCTACAAATTCACCTCCAAATTCACCCAAATTATGCGTCAATCGCACAACCCAGATACCCCTCAACAATTCACAAACCTTCCGAAAAACCCTAATTTAATTGCTACTAAATTATCCTACACAATAAACTAAATTTTAAGAGAGATTTTGGAGCAAGAATTTTTAGGCAGATTCGATTTTCAGAGGACGCAATGAAGAACTCGAATGAAGATGATGAAGTTCAAAGGTTTTAATCAGACCCTTTGACAAGACATAATTGGTTGGCTGAAATAAATGGGGGTATTTTAGTCAATTCATCTCTTCCCTTCCATTTAAACATAAACCATGGTTAATCTTACTTAAAATGCTTAACTCAAGCTACCATTGAATTAGTTTAGTTAATTATTGATTACCATAGATAATTAGAAAAGTTAGTGTTTACCATTGAGAAAAAAAAGAAGTACATGAGTACCATTGAGAATTTCCCTTTTCTTTTTTCTCTTTTGATGTTACAAAAATTAATCAAAATTACGCTTCTTATGGATCTAAAATTATTAATAATGACAAATACAACAAGGTTCAATATGTCAATATATAAAGACATAATATTTTTATTCTTAAGATTTTAATAGACACAAAATTATGAAGAATTAATGCAAAAGTTTTAATAATCAAAGTTATGTCTTGAAAATTAAATGTATATTGCAATTTATATTGTTCACCATGGTCACGTGCACTTTGTTTATTCAAAGTATCATTCAAAGTACTAGGTACCTATATGGATACAGGTATAATAATCAATTAAAGTACTCAATTCATCCTAGGATAATATATAGAAAAACGTGCATGTTATGTTTTGACAGGTGTCATATATAAACAAATGTGGGTGTACGTCCCAATTTTTAAAATTACGGAGTATTAAATTAGTTAACTTGGATTAGTAATGTGAGGTGAAGGTAGAATAACACAATATAATAAAACAAAGAACTTCATTAGAGACGACATGCATGACAAAATAAACGATGAAAACTTTGCAACTTGTGGAGTACGTTACGTTGTATACTTTTGCTTGACAAGGATATGATCGTTGGACATTGATTATATAAACCCATGTAACCACTTAACCTTAACATATTAAATTAATAAGCAATAATAAACAACATGCATGCTTATACTATGCCTAATATAATCCTAATTCTTTTGTTAGCATCGTCCTCTTTCTTTGAACCCCCAAATTTGATCTCTGTTGAGGCTCGAAAATTAGCCACTTCTAATAACGTCTTCAAGGTCAATCTAATCCATCGCGATTCACCACTTTGGCCTTACTACAACTCTTCCATGACACCACAAGAGCGCCTAAAGAGAGCACCCCTAGGCTATATATCACATGGCCACAACATTCAACTGTCCTCAACACATTATAACCTAAATGATGAAAAATCGTACACTTTAATTCCTAATGGTGGAGGGTACCTCATGAAAATCGCCCTTGGTACCCCAAAAGTCGAATTTTTAGCCTTGGCAGACACTGGTAGTGACCTTATTTGGGTCCAATGTCAACCTTGTAACACTTGCATCCAACAACAATCTCCACTCTTCGATCCATCAAAATCTTCGTCTTATCAATTAATTACTTGCCCTTCTTCGGATTGCGCCCAACCAGATGTTACTACTAGTTGTGCTTCGAATGATAATTATTACAGCAATTACGAGTCATCATCACTATGTGCTTATGAATATAGTTACGGTGATCATACTCAAACTAACGGCGTCCTAGCCACTGAAACACTTAGCTTATCCTCTCCCGATGCTACCTCGCCGAGCATTTCATCCACGTCCGTGTTCGGTTGTGGTACGGACAACCAAGGCACTCTTGGCAGCCAAGACGAGGGGATCGTTGGACTTGGAACAGGCCCATCTTCCTTGATCTCACAACTCGGCCCAAAAATCAACTACAAGTTCTCCTACTGCTTAGCTCCCTTGACATCCGAGGTCTCAAGCACGCTTACCTTTGGAGCCGATGTTACGAGCCCTGAAGTAGTGTTAACTCCCTTCCAAATAGGAGAATCCTCCACATTTTACCACCTTACTCTAGGTAGTGAAAATCCGGTCCAAATCGCGGTAGACATGGACGTGATCATCGACTCTGGTACCACTCTTACAATGCTTCCATATAACATCTACCACGACTTAAGGGAGGCTTTGGTGAATGCCATTGGACTTAACACGGTACCGAGCCCACTCGAAGATTTCGACCTCTGTTACAATACAGGGGAATCAGGGCAGTTTAGTCCTCCAGACGTTGTATTCCAATTTCAAGGGGCTGATGTCGTGTTAATGGCGATCAACACGTTTAGTCAAATCGAGGAAGATGTTAGTTGCTTGGCAATGGTAGCTACAGAAACTTCAGATAGTATTCCAATATTTGGGAACATTGCTCAAGTTAAGTTCGAGGTTGGGTACGATTTACAAGCTATGCAAGTTTCTTTTGCTCCAGCAGATTGTTCAAAGTACTAATTAATAATTCAATTTTTATAATTTGTATGCTTAATTGATCTCATTTATCTTTCCTCAAAAAAAAAAAAAAAAAAAAAATTTCATCTCATTTATCCATTTTTATATTGTACTACCTAATGATTAGGTTTGTTTGTGATGGCATAATCGCATTAGTTTAATTTATGTTATTGCTAGTTCTACATGTAACGTACTTCTTTAGTTTCTGTATCAAGAAGCTATAAACTCCAATATATGTATGTACGAAATTACATCTGCATTATATATGGAGTATTAGGAAAATTATTATACCATGAAAAAGTTTCTCCTGTTTTCGTGCTATTGATTATATGCGCGTACATGGTATTGTAATGGCCTTGTTTGGCAAATGGTCGTTGGCGGTTGGCTGGTTCCCTTGGTTTGTTTGATCAGTTGGAATGTTTGGTTGTTTATAAGGACTTTTGAAATTGGTTGTTTAAGCTGACTGTTTATAAAAGTGTTTGGTAAATTAATTGTTGGTTGTTGGCTGCTTATTAGATAATTTGTGGGTTTACAAATCAAAAGCCAACAAAAAAAATAGCTAGTCAAAACAGTTTTTTCATTTTGACTTAAAAACCAGCTTTTTCGACGACTAAAAAGCCAATTACCTAACACATATTTTGGCTATTTGACTACATAAAAAAGTCAAAAGCTAACCAAAAAGCCATTTACCAAACATGACCAATAATTAAGCCAAGACTCTTGATAAACAACTAGAACTCAAGCTTGACTAAATCTCATCTATGTTCGTCTATAAGATCATTTTAGACTAGCTTTTGTACACTTTTTTAAGCTTGATTAACCCAAGCATAAATATATTCGTTCGTGTTAATTCATAAGCAACTTGTTTATAAATATTAAGGTTGTAAAATAAGAAACCCCTCAAAGCTTATTTAATTAATTAACTTTATCATTATATTATACTATCTTCAATTCTTTTTAATTGATACGTATTCCTTTTTAGAAAGTTTTTCTTTTTAGTTGACACGTTTTCTTTTGGGGTAAATTTTTTACCTTGCATTTACAAATTACCCCATTTGTTTTTTCATTCTCTCTCACTCTCTTTCCTCTCCTTAATGTATATGTCTAAATCAAACGCGTCAACTAAGTAGAAACGGAGGAAGTATATACTTTTATATAATTGGTTGGATGGTTTGATAAATTAAGCCATAATATTCTTTATTTCATCAAGCGTGAAAGGTTGTGGACCTTGTGTAGTGGGGTTAAGTCTAAATTGACCATATTTTTAAACGTGAAACAATTGGATGGAAAGCCTTGTTAAGAGGTGGTGGCGATGTGTGGCGAGGTAACAATTCTTTGTCCTGAGATTTAAGACTAGTATAGATACATAGAAGGATTGAGTTAATAAGACAATTATATATGAAATTCTAGATACTGATGGGGCAGCAAAAGGATCTCCAGATTATGCAGGAGGAGGAGGCATCATACGCAATTGCAGGGGGAGTACATAAGTACATTAGAAGCTTTACAGCTAACTTTGGGGTCTGCAATGCATATAAGGCTGAGTTACTGGCTGCTGAATTAGGACTGCAAATGGCAAAAACTTTGGGCATCCCAAAGCTGATTCTTCAGATGGACAATAAAGCATGCTTGGAGGCTATTAGCAATGAGGCAATTCAAGGAGCAGAATGTGTTCATATTCTTGCTTCTTGCCGTAGTTTAATTAAAACCTTTATAATCGTTGTAGCTTTTTTCGATCATTGTTTTAGGGAGGGGAATAGAGTAGCAGATCGACTCGCCAACATCACAACATGGGAGTCATCTTTAAAGGGAGGGTTAATTATTTCGATTCGCCTTCGATCGAAATAATTAATCTTCTTAGCGAGGATGTTGTGGGTGTGGCTTGGGCATGTTTTGTAGCTTCATCTAACTTTTTTTCTCTTTAATAAATGGGTGTGACCCTCATTTGCATTATATATATATATATATATATATATATATATATATATATATATATATATAGGAAGGCTCATGTAAGAACCCTCCTCTATATAAGAACTCAATCTTATATAAGAACCAATCTCAACCATTTATTAGTTTTGATCCAATCATCTAAAACCATCCTTTAGTAATGGCATTTCTGTAATTCTTTTTTTATGTTCTAAATTTTTTTGCCTACTCTTATGTTCTAAATCTAGTCTACCTATTTTCTAATTTTTTTTTTTCTATGTTCCAAATTTAGTCTACTTATATACTAAAGTTTTTTTTTTTTTTTTTTTTTTTTTTTTTTTTTTTTTTTTTTTTTTCTTCCTATGTTCTAAATTTTTCCAACCTATGTTCTAAAGTTTTTTTTCTTCTTCTTATGTTCTAAATATTCTTTTACCTATGTTCTAAATTCTTTTGCCTATGATCTAAATTCAGTCTACTTATGTTCTAAAGTTTTTTTTTCATAAGTTCTAAATTTTTACTACCTATGTTCTAAAGTTTCTTTAGTAATGGCATTTCTGTAATTCTTTTTTTATGTTCTAAATTTTTTTGCCTACTCCTATGTTCTAAATTTAGTCTATTTATGTTCTAATTTTTTTTCCCTATGTTATAAATTTAGTCTACTTATGTTCTAAAGTTTTGTTTTCTACGTTCTAAATTTTTTCTACCTATGTTCTAAAGTTTTTTTTCCTATGTTCTAAATATTCTTTTACCTTTTGCCTATGTTCTAAATTCAGTCTACTTATGTTCTAAAGTTTGTTTTTTCCTATGTTCTAAATTTTTACTACCTATGTTCTAAAGTTTTTTTTTTTCTTATGTTCTAAATATTCTTTTACCTATGTTCTAAATTTGTTTTTTCCTATGTTCTAAATTTAGTCTACTTATGTTCTAAAGTTTTTTTTTTCCTATGTTCAAAATTTAGTCTACTTATTTTCTGCTCATATAACTTAGTGCTAATTTAATTTGTTTTATTGGATTTTTTTTTAAAAAAAAAACATTTGAAGTTTTTTTTAGTTATTTATAAAGATAACCTATGAAGGAATTGAACCTACATCCTCTATGCATTTGCATAATGCTCTTCCAATTGAGCTAATAGGTTTTATCATATGTTCTAAATATTATTTGCATATGTTCTAAAATTTATTGCTTAAGCTCTAAATTTTTCAATCTAAGCTCTAAATATATGTATGTTCTAAACTATTTTCCTATGTTCTACATTTTATTGTTTATGTTCTAAAGTTTTCTGTCCATGTTCTAAATATATATCTTATATTCAAATTTTTTTGTCTATGTTCTAAATTTATTTCGTATGTTCTAAATTTTTTTCATATGCTCTAAATTTTTTCTGTATGCTCTAAATTTTATCCTATGTTCAAAAAATTTTCTACCTATTTTCTATTTTTTTTTTCCGTACGTTCTAAATTTTTTCTATCTATGTTCTAAACTTTATCATATGTTCTAAATTTTTACCTTATGTTCTAATTTTTTTCACCGTATGTTCTAAATTTTTAGTATATGTTCTAAACTTATTTTCTATGCTCTTTTTTTTTCCCAATATTCTAAATTTCCAATTTTTTTTCCTATGATCTTTTTTTTTCCCAATGTTCTATATTCCTATGTTCTAAATTTTTACTATGTTGCAAATCATTTTCTTATGTTCCAAATTTTTCCTATGTTCTAAAGTTGTTGGTATATTCTACACCTATGTTCTAAAGTTTTTTCTACCTATGTTCTAAAGTTTTTTTTTTTCCTATGTTCTAAATATTCTTTTACCTATGTTCTAAATTCTTTTGCCTATATTCTAAATTTAGTCTACTTATGTTCTAAAGTTGTTTTTCTTTTCTATGTTCTAAATTTTTACTAACTATGTTCTAAAGTTTTATTAGTAACAATGTCAATAATTTGTGCAAAATTTGGGATAGTAGAATGTAACGAGTAAGTAACGGCACTCAATGTAGGAATTAGGTGTATTTGAATCAAAGGTTAGCCGTGAATTAACCTTTCCCTAATATGAGACAATGCTCCAATCGTGTCATTACCGTTACATAATCTAGGTTTAGTTAAGCATAATTAAACATGCCGCTCCTGAATGAGCATAATCCCTGCAACACACAACTGAAAGTTTAATTGACAGTTCATTGTGTTTACTGACCCAAGACGGGAAGTCATCACCTTAACCATTGGAATTCCAATAAGAGGCTCAGACTTTCGAATGCACCAGCTTATTGTCCTACCAAAACAAGACAGTTGAATGCGAAGAATATCGACAACACAAAAATGAAGGCTAAAGCAGTCCCATAATATAGAATGAACTATACTCTTTATTATTGCCAGAAATGGGGAACAAAAGAAAAGGCCAAAGATAAAATAACAAATAGAAACCAAAACACCAACGCCTAGAAACTGCCAAAAAAAACCCGAACAAAAACAGGAAACAGCAATAACAGCAAGCAGAAACAGCAGCAGCAAGTGGAACCAGCAGCACCAACCTACAACAGCAGCAGCAACCAGAAACAGACCTCAGCAGACCAGCTGCACCACCAAACGGACAACAGCAACAACCCGAGCCCAGAAGGCCAGCTGCAGCACCAGACAGCAACACAGCACAAAGAAACAGCAGCTAGCAGGAGACTAGGCTGCTAACACCAAGAACAGCACCAGCAGCACCAGGAAACAGCTAGCAACACACATCAAGGCAGGCATCACAGCCTGAACCAGCACCACAAACAGCAGCCTGAAACAGAGAAAGCCAGCCTGCACACCAAGCAACAGCTGCACATAACAGCACAAAGCAGGAAAGCTGGAGCAGGACACAGATAGGAGCAAGAAACAGAAAAGAGCAAACCCAGCTAGGCAACAACAGTTAACACCAAATCATTATAGTTCACAAAAGAGAAGAGGACCAGTCTAGACCAGAATGGAAGAGCACCACATGTAGCTTCAAAACTTCCCATAAAACAAAATGGAGAATAACCAGAAGTGTTGAACGAATAATGCTGGTTACTTCATATATTTCCACAATGATCAACACCATGTTCTAAAAGAGTTTAGAACATGCTTAAAAAGAGTTTAGAACATGCTAAGCTATGTCAGTTGCTTGCGTATCTTAAAAGTGTATTTTAGATCATAACATTGACATTCTATAAACATATCGACAAGAACAACGTGGAAAGATCAACACCATGTTCTAAATTATTTCAACCTATGTTCTAATTTTTTTCTATGTTCCAAATTTTTTCTACCTATGTTCTAAAGTTTATTTTCAGCCCTGCAATCACAAGTTCACAACCAACAACCCCTAACCAATTAGCTGCTGTTTCATAAATCAACCACCACACCACAACCCCTACAAGCAGGGGCAATCGCACCAACATCACCAATTTCGAAATCAAAATTCGAAAAAATCAGCAAAAATTGAACCCTAAATTCGAACTATAGATCCGCAAAAATAAGAAAAAATAGAACATAGAGAATAAGCCAGATTTGTTTTTAGACATGACGAATTGATGCAAGCAGAACAAGTAATGCCAAGTTGTTCAAGCTATGCTTGCTCATTAATCGAGTTTAAAAGTTTTGTTTAGCCTGAATTGTTTACTTAACAAACAATTTTTAACAGAACTTATTCTTATTCTTGAGTGTATCGGGGTAGGCATTATACACAAGTAGTTGTTACACCATAATTTGGATGACTACTGCTATGAACTGAACTAATGACCAACAAAAAAAGGAAAAAAATAAATGTTTTTCAATTTTAATAACACGAGTTTAATTACCCAAAACCTGATATATTTAATCAATGAATCAAAATTGATACAGAACATTACAGCAATGAATATAAGCAGGGAAAAATGGCTGCAAAGCCACTAATATAATCATTGTTCTATACACACTATTGCACAAAAAAGAGAGAAAACAAGCGGTTTGTTGTGTGTTGAATCCTAAATCCTAAATTCGAATACCCTAAATTAGAATCCTAAATCCGCAAAAAAAGAACCCTAAATTCGAACGCGAAATTTGAAAAAATCGAACTCAAAAAAATCAAACTCCATGCGAAATTCATTAAAATCAAAACAGAAAAACGCAAATATCAAATCACAAAATCGCAAAATCAAATCAAAAAATCGGAAACATAAAATCGCAAAAATCAAATCAAAAAATCGCAAAATCTATGAACATCATGCTAAGTTCATGGAAATTTGAACAAAATCGAAAAAAAAAACAAACCTGAGTCGAAAATCCTTCAAATTGCAATTTCTATGGAGATTTTTGGGGTTTGCAGAGAGAGAATGTGATGAACACGAAGAGAGAGAAAGTTAGAGGAGAGAGAAAATTTTGATCGGTTGGTAGAGGGTATAAGGAAAAATACGTGTTTTAATCTTAACCGTCTAAATTACCTTAATCCTACGGCTGAGATTGGTTCTTATATAACTAGGGTTCTTATATAAGGAGGGGTTCTTACCGGATCCCTCCCCTATATATATATATATATATATATATATATATATATATATATGTTAAGATATATTATGTAAAATAGGATATATTTTGGTAGATTTCCCACTGAAATCTAATCTCTAGAATTTCCATAAGATATTGTTTGACTAGAGTTAGGCATCGTGGGATTGTATTATATGTATAGTGCCTTTGCTGCCTAATGAATACAACTAATACAAGATTTGAGCATTATCAATTTTACAAATTGCGACTGAACATAAAAAACAGTAGAAGTATAATGGAGATATACATGATAAAGTAAATTGATTAAAACACCCCTCATCCGATAGACCAGCAATACTTATTCAAAACTATAGCTAAAATTATAATTATTACTTGATCTAATATAGTAAATTGATAATCATACTTAAAAATAAATCTAGGTCCTAATTGATTATCATCAACCAAATGATTATAACTTCCATAGATATTATACCAATCAATCCGAAAGAAGATGAAAAATAGGTCATGATCAAACGAGGGTAGGAGACAGAACATCAACGGAATTCCAATTAAACCATCATAAGATTTAAGTTGACAACATCAGAGTCTTAGATCCGAACTCATTAAACCAAATCAAAAGGTCAAAGAGTAGTACTCAATCTACTAGTATACAATGACACCCACTATTATATTTACACAATCAGGCCCATCACTTCATCATGACATGAGTAAACGGTAGCAATATGCCAAAAGCAATTAAGCAAAAACATACACAAAAATAAAATAAAATTTGAAGAGCTTAACTAATTCTAAAGCACATGAAAACGTCACTTACAGTATTCAACCTCACAATTCACAAACGTAGCAATTTAGGCCATAAAAGTTGGATTTCCTTCCATTGATGCATAAATTTGCTTGGTTGATTATATTAAACGATTAACACTTTTCATATCGATGTACAACTAATCTGACCCAAAGCGGACAATAGGTTTCCTTAGAATTAGAGCTCTGGTGTTGATAACGTATTATAAATTAATGGAATATAGAGAGAATTTGGGAGAGATTAATTGTGTATTCTTATTCAATAATATGTGGGATTATACATATATTTATACATTCCTGAATAACCTTAAGGATATAATGGGTATCCACCAATATATATACGAAATATTATATAACATGGATCTAATAGTCAGACATCCATTCAAATTATTATCCTTCCTTACCATTCGGGTGCCCAAATGGTTTGTTCATTTGGGTCAGCCCAATTAACTTCCAATGTTATTTATACAAGGCTTAATTTGACTTGGAACTTATTTATTAAGATAATGTTGATGCGGCGGTGGTACTTGCTTGGTGGAAATGAGTGCTGTCTTGGGGTTATTGCTTGTGCGGTGGTTTATGCGGTTTGCAATTTTGTCCGTGATACATAATGGGACCCGAAGTGTGGCTCAACTTAAAGAGTTAAAGTGCCGGCTTTTGTGATTTCACGTGGCGATTCATAGTTGACCGTTTCATAGATTATACTACCTCCGTTTCTTTTTAATTGACACAAATTTTCTTTTAGTAAGTTTTTTTACTTGACATTTTTCATTTTAGGGTAAATATTTTACCTTACATTTACAAGCTCCCACTTGCTTTTTCATTCTCTCTCACTCTCTCTCCTCTCCTTAATATGCGTGTCTAAATCAAACGCATCAACTAAATAGAAACGGAAGGAGTATTATATTAAAGAGCGATTGTTTCTAACTGTATAATAATATCTCATCTACATTATTTACGGGAAAAAAAAATGAAATTCATTAAACCCAAAATTTATATTTTTTTATACTGAGATTGATTGTTTGTGAAGTTTAAAATTTATTGTTATATAGAGTAATTTTCACCTAATTTAAAAGAGTATTACTATAGTCTTTTATCTTAAATTTTTTACCCTTCATAATTTTATTAATGCTAAAGTGTGAGTTAGTAGATACTTCTATTTCTATTCATATGATTATTCTGATGACTACATAGTATCGGTTGATATTATTATTACATTAAAAAAAATTGTTTGCTCTTCTATATTGGCCAATACATAAATCCATTAAGATTGGTTGCACACTTGCACCACACATGGCACAACTCACTAAACTACCTTTCCATAAGGGCATTTACTTATCCACTCATTCACCTCAAACTCAAAACTATCCTTCGCATTAGCCAATATGCATTATTTGTTGGTCAATATTTTCATACTTCTACTAGCATTATCTTCATCCTCAAAACTACCTAGTTCACTCTTTGTAGAAGCTAGACATTATTCTCCAAAATCTTCCAATGGCACCTTCACGGTACATCTTATCCATCGCGATTCGCCACACTCTCCCTACTACAACTCATCCATGACACCCCTACAACGCTTACAAAGAGCGCCTTTAGGCTCAATCTCACACAGTCACAATATTCACCGGTACCAATCCTCATATTTGATCCCTAATGGTGGAGATTACCTCATTAAAATCGCGCTTGGCACACCAAAAGTCGAAATTACAGCCGTGGCAGATACTAGTAGCGACCTTATATGGGTCCAATGTTCACCATGTGACGAATGCCTCCCTTCAAAATCTCCACCTTTCATACCTAAGAAATCTTCGACGTATCATCCCATTTCTTGTACGTCTCCTTCTTGCAAATACCCACATATTATTCAAGGTTGTCTTCCAAATTACACCAACAAGAGCTCATCATCATCATCGCCGTGTTACTATGAGGCACTATATGGAGATGGCACACAAAGTGTCGGAATCCTAGCCACCGAAACCATTAGCTTACCCTCGCCTAACGAAGCTACCTCACCAAGTCACACGTCCATAAAGTTTGGATGTGGATTTGACCAACGAGGCCAAGTTGGGGTCCAAGGAGAAGGGATCTTCGGACTAGGAGCTGGCTCATTGTCCCTAGTCTCGCAACTTGGTTCATCCATAAACTACAAATTTTCCTACTGCTTGGCACCCCTATCTTCTGGGGTGCCAAGCAAACTAACCTTTGGGGCTCATGTAACGAGCTCCAAAGTCTTAACAATACCCTTAGTAACAGGACTCCCATCAACATTCTACTATATTACACTCAATGACATTAGCATTGGCAATAATGCCTCGGTCCCTGTGAACCAAGACATAATCATCGACTCTGGTACCACTCTAACATACTTGCCACAAACCATCTATGACAACATCAAGACTGCTTTGAGCACCGCGATCAAGCTTACTCCGGTGCCAGATCCATTACAATTCTACGACCTTTGCTATGATGCACGAAGATCAGGATCGAGTGGAGGCCTTAACCCTCCTGATGTGGTGTTTCATTTCAAAGGGGCTGATGTTGTGTTAAAGGGAATTAACACCTTTAGGACACTAGAAGATCAAGGTTTGATTTGTTTAGCAATGTCTACTACAGAAGGTACTCCTATATTAGGGAACATTGCGCAAGTTAACTTTGAGGTTGGCTTTAATTTACATTCTAAAAAGGTTTCCTTTGCTCCAACTGATTGTACCAAGCACTAGATTTCTTTGAATCAAATTTTCAATTTAACCAGCAATCATTAATTTATAACATGCTTCTTTGGAAGTGTAATACTTTTTTTGTTCTTTTTGAGTAAACTTTGTATTAGTTGCATCAATACTTTATTTAGTAATTGATTATTTGATTCAAGTCTATATTGCAATTTATATATAAAACAGAGAAAGTATTAGTATACCGGTCAAAAAAATAATATACTGAGCAACACTATATACAACATAAAATGTGCAGGCTGAGCTATATATCGGCCCAGTTCTTAGACAGTTGGCCGACAACCCATCCACTAGGTGGCCCAATGGGGCCAATAGTACCTGGTCTGGGCCTCGTGCTCACTGACCTTACAACCTCATCATTGTACTACAGCATGAGTACTAATTTGTGGGTATAAGAATTCCTAAGATAAAGTTTAGAGAGCACGAATTTAGAATTTATCATATACATCCGAGTGTATCGTAATGTTAGTGTTTATTTGATGATTTAAACAAAAAATAATCATTAAAATAAAAATAAAATACTCATAGGTGTATGATACATTCTGGTGTATATAACAAGCTCTCCAAGAATGCAAGATCATCTCACAATATGTTTAGCTTGACTTTTAGAAAATTTTAGTTTTAACTTTTGATATTTATTTTAAAAATTGCACGAATTCATGTCTCACATATTTAATTACCATGTGGCATTCACATATTAAACTTTACAACCAAATAAATAACTTAAAAATCCACGAATCCGGATTAGCCTAAAGGGTGAACTAGGTGGAACACCAAAAAAAAAATTAAAAGAAAATGTTCCATTTAATAAGTATATAATATATATCTCTAAAATCGAGCAATTAGTGAATAGGAGAACTAATAAATAATCAAAGTGTAGTTAAAATAATTCGGAACATTGATAATTTGGTAGTCATCCTCTAAACAACATTATTCATGTTAAGTGCATGCATTCAAGAAAGGTCAAAAAAAAAAAAAAAAAAAAAAACACAGAACGGCCATCTTTGGAGCAACGGAATCTGAGTTTTCCAAGTTTGTAGCCGAATTTAAGATATACGATTAAAATTATATAGCCTTATATATCCTAACTTATGTGTTGCATATGTTTATATTCCTAGGGAACTAATCTACTCATAATGTCTATCTTACTGCTTTATTACTTCCTTACAAACCTACTCTCCTACACATATATACAACACCCATGGCTCATTGAAGCGAAAACTCGAACAAATGACGGCTTTTCCATTGATTTATTCCACCGTTACTACTCTCCAAAATCTCCATTCTACAACTCCTCATTGTCTCCTAAAGAACTCTTCCAACGATTAGTTCTTTCCTCGAACTCAAGGCACCGCCAAATCATATGGCAGCAGAGTAACATAGGAGAAGTTAGTACTAATTTAATTCCTAATGAGGGTGACTACCTCATGCAAATCTCTGTTGGTACTCCACCAGTACAGCTAGTCGCGGCTGCTGTGACAGCAAGTGACCTTACATGGTTTCAGTGCATACCTTGTGTCCTTTGCTACCCACACAACACCACCAATTTCGATCCTCAAGCTTCTAGAACCTACATGAACCTTCCTTGTGATGCAGAACATTGCACTAACCTTAATACAGATCACATAAACTGTGACCAAAATGAAAATTTGTGTAGGTATTGGTATACTTATGGCAATGCAACAACTATTACCGGAGGAGTCATGGGAACGGACACGTTCTCGTTCACTTCTTTTGATGGGGATGAAGAACAGGCTGCCTTCCCCTCCATAACTTTCGGATGTGGGTATCAGCAAGCAGGGCTTTTCGATTCCAACTCTGCAGGTGTTGTAGGACTCGGAAATGGACCTGTTTCGCTTGTTTCACAACTAGGTCCCTCAATTTCTTACAAATTCTCCTACTGCTTAACTTATCCTTCCTCACATAGTGCAAGTAAGTTGAGATTTGGAGGTATGCTTGAAGATACATCAGAAATTGGAGGTTTGACATTGACAACGCCTTTTGTTACCAATGATCCTTCATCCTCTTATAGCCTCGTGTTAAATGGAATAAGCGTAGGTCAAATGAACTTGAACATGGACAAGGAGATCATCATAGACACCGGTACCACACTTACTTACATAGATCCAAGCATCTTTTATAACCTCGAAGCTATGGTGAACGATGCAATAGGGGCATCCCCGGTTTCTAACAATCCTTTGGTGGAGCCTGTTTTGTGCTATGGTCCAGATGATGCAGCTTTAAATCCCCCTGACATAGTCTTTCAACTTGACGGGGGTGATTTAGTACTAAAGGCTTGCAATATCTTCTTTGTACTTGACGATTATGTTTGCTTGTCCATTGCTAAGTCGCCCAAAGATGGGGATCCTATGGTGCTAGGCAACATGGCTCAGACCAACCTTGATATCGAGTTCGATCTGCTAAGCAAGACAGTTAGGCTTACTCCTAAATATTGTTCTCAAGAGACCAGCTAGCACGAAGCACAAGCCCTATCAGGAGATTATAAAAAATGAAACCACACATCTATATAGCTTTTCATGAAGAATTATTCTAAGACAATTAGATTAGAGTTTATGAAGTTTTCAATTGCTTTCTTTATTTTAAGCTTAGATGAAAAGTTGAAAACCATTAATTGTAATACTTTAATTTTCTGTGTTCGACCTCTGCCTCTAAGCCGAGTTATGGTTAATTATATAATCAATTCTGCTATAGTATGTGCCAAAATTTCTTAGTTAGTTGTATAGTTCCTAGTTTGTTAGTGTCAATAAAAGACTCTGAAGTTGGTGTGACCACTTTAACTAGAGTTAGATACTGTATCATGCAATGAATTTGTATTCTATGTCAAGTTTGAACTCACAGTTTCATTGCATGTAAATTTACGTAGTATAAGAGACCAATTACATAAAAGCAAGGAATACCATCCTAAAACAACTGAAAGCAAGTGCAGTTTACTACTCCCTCCATTTCCTTTTTTTTTTTTCAATTGAAATTATGCGCGGTTATTAAAAAATTGTGTAAAGTAGAGGTATATTGGAATAATTCAATGATTGAAAGTACAGTTTACTTTAAAAAAAATAATATTGTACATGTGGGGTGAAGAAAGTAAGAAGGAAAAAGAAGAGACAAGAGAGATAAAGTAATAATGAGTATTAGAAAACCATTAAAATAAAACTAAAAGTACAAATGCCCATCAAAAAGTAAGGATATTTGAGTATTTAAATTGTAAAGCAAGGGTAATTTTGTTTTATTATAACTATAAAAGGAAAGATATATAAAGAATAAAAAAGGACACCTAAAATGAAAACATAAAGAACAAAAGGGACCGGAAGGAGTACATCTATAAAAATAGTCACTTTTTTTTAGTGGCCACTCTTCTTTATGGGACAACTAATCCTAACCAGTATGGTAGATGGTAATAAATCACTATAACGGAAATGAGTATATTACATGTAATTTCAAATATCTCATGGAAATGTCTTTGGTATAGCACTTCCACCTTACACTTGAGAAATAAAATTCATACTCGTCTATGATTGCATGAACATTTATATAGATCAGACATATCTAGTACAGGATGGAGCATAAAATTAAAGTTGTGAAATCAATTTTTGTTCGATCAAATTGATGAAAACACAAACGTGGAATTGAGCTGATGATTTCCTAGTCTATGATGTGGTTGTTTGGCCATTGACATATAAATTAAAACAAACTATTTCCGGACAGAGAGAGTATATTATAGTAACTATCCTATGTACGGAGATATACATCTCGGCATAACATAAATTAAAGAATTGTGAAAGTGTAATTGAGAAGTTAGAAATTTGAAAGGCAAAAGGATGATGCCCCAAAAATGGACCAAAATTGAGCTTGATTCATTTTCCACAGGAAGAGTGTGTGCTTTAGAAAGGCAGCTACTTGGGAACGTCAAAAGAATTTCCTAGTTACCAGCTAAATATATGCTATTATTCAATTTCATGATAATTAGTTGCACCAACCTCAAATATTATTTCTTAACTAACAAAACTAATTAAATTCAGTTCTTTTTTTTTAGCATCTATAAATAATGCAATCTAAATGCCAGTTTAAGTAAAACTCACTTATTTTTGTGGTACACTACCATTTTTCAACATGCATACCCTACTATTCTATTTCTTCTTAACACAGTTGTTCTTATATCAAGGTAACACCCAAAATGATGGCTACACTATTGACCTCATACACCGGTACTCTCCAAATTCTCCATTCTACAACTCTTCCATGACTTCTGAAGAGCGCGTCCAAAGGCTGGTACATCACTCTGCTTCAAGGTATCACCGCCATACAAAGAGCCTCGTAGCTAACTATCTTGATACCAACATAATCCCAGGTGATGGAGACTACCTCATAAAAATCGCGATAGGCAGACCACCGGTGGAAATGTATGCAATTGCAGACACCGGGAGTGACCTTATATGGGTCCAATGCGAGTCATGTGACATTTGCGACGCCCAAAATAATGCAGCATATTTTGACCCTCAAAGTTCTAGCTCCTACAAGACACTCCCTTGTAACTCGACGATTTGTGACACTGATCCTAGCATGCAATGTGATGATGACACGGGCACTGAATGCGAATACTTCTATACATACGGGAGTGGATCAACCATAAGCGCGGGGATCATGGGGACAGACTTACTCACCTTAGACACGAGTAAAACAAATTGTGTGTTCGGATGTGGAATCGTGCAGGATGGTAGTTTCGACAGGAATGCAGGAGGGTTAGTTGGCCTCGGTGGAGGTCCTCTCTCATTGATCTCTCAACTAGGTCCAACAATCGCGAATAAGTTTTCATATTGCCTAACCCCGATCACCTCAAACAGCACAAGCACGCTAACATTAGGCAACAGTCCTGCTAAAACCGGCTCTGTTGTGATTCCTTTGGTAACCCAAGACAATCCAACTTACTACGCGATAAATCTCAAGGCCATAAGTATAGGCCAGGATGAAGTCGATATCAACAAAGACATAGTCATAGATAGTGGTTCAACACTAACATATCTAGACAAGAGTGATTACACACGCCTTGAGGCATTAGTGAAGGCCTCGATACCAGAAGAGCCAATCGACAATCCACCTCAAGGATTCAAGATTTGCTTTGAGAAAAAGAAAGAGGTTAAGATATCATTTAAGATGGATTTCAAGCTTAATGGAGGCGATGTTATATTAGTAGACTCGAATTTCATGATAGAGTTTGATAAATATGTTTGCTTAGGAATCGTGCCCTCGGAAGAAGAAGGTGATCCTATGATTCTTGGGAATATAGCTCAAGTTAACTTTGAGGTGGAGTTTGATCTTAAAGGAAAGACGGTTTCATTTACTCCCACCATTTGTAGCCAAAACCATGGGGCTAGTTTAGCTTAGTTTTCTTGCATGAATGTGTATGGTGAAAGAAAATAATGTGGTTTACATCACAATTTGAAATAAAACTTCATTGCGAAATTTCAAATACCTTGTATTATGCATGTATTTTTGTTATATTAATACAAATTGTTATGATGCACATCATAATTTTGAGTGAAGATATAGTTCAAATATTAAGAATTTAATTATTATGTTCATATATTTTTAAGCTATATATGTTCATATATTATAAACATTATTGTCATAATTTGTCACCTTGCTCTATTTTTGGGCCCATCACCCAGGCCTGTCAATCTACTGGGCCCAAAATTATGTAGGTCTAGTAAAGGAAATGACTTCGACTTATAAACTAGATGCAATATAGTTGCACAAAACTATGATTTATAATTACATCATTTCAGAGTAGTAATTGCTAATAATTAAATTGGAGGCAGGTAAAAATAATATAGGAGTAATAATTTGAAATAAAGGGGGTATTAAGTTGTAAGAAGATTGCCTCCATTAAAAATGTACACATAATTATGATCATAGTTGTTGCCTAGTTATATTTGTCCTACCAACCAACTGTTATTTGTGCGCTTGTAAAGTTGCAATTATATCACACTTTAATCATGGTAACCTTTCACTTGCGAAATTAGAGTCTTCGGCACAATAATTACATTAATTACGATTTTCTTTTTTTTTAGTGTAAAAAGAGTCTTGAAAATCAATGATATAGACAAATTCAATCACAAAACTAACCACCTCAAGATTTTACCACACTAAGGCCCTGTTCTTTTGAGTTTCTGAGCAGAGCAGATTTCAACAGAGCAAAGCAGAGCAGATTTCAGCAAAGCAGAGCCGAGCCGAGCAGATCAGATTTTATTATTATTATTATTATTATTATTATTATTATTATTATAAAAAACAAAACGTACAGAGTCAATCAATTTACAAGAAATTGGTAGGGAGCCGAGATACAATCTGGGCCCCCACCCCTCTAGCTATAGCGAACCCGATCCTGCTGAAGATGTGAGCAGCTGCACGAGCACCAATATCCTGAGTTTTAGCGAACGCCTGAACCCGCTTCAGCAACGCAATAGCATCCTTCTCTAATTCCCCCAACGAAGAAAAGGAGAAAGGAAGAAAACCATAGCCAATAGCCCTGCAACGCGCCCCATAGTTGTCCCGCTTCCGCTGAGCCGCCGCCGACACAACACGACCAGGAACGAAGTCAGACAACCCCGATTGTGTCAAAGGTGAAGACCCCGTCAAATCAACACATACATCAAGGCCTCTATCCCAGGAATAAAGCAGCACATCTGCAGGTCGTAGAGCCCCGTCGTTTCCTTCAATCAACCCAATGTTAACCTCCTTTCGAGCAGAGATTCCAGACCGATTACAAATATCAACAAGGGTGTCACGAACAACATTGTGCCGATGTTTATTACCCACCATCCCAGCACAAGACACTACATGATCCCCATAAATATCCCCGTCAAAAACCCTAGAGCAAGCAGAACACGGTGTTGAAACGGAGAACAAAGGAACACCTAACTGGTAGCAAAGAACACTACGGTAAGTCTTATCATTCATAGTCTAACCCAAATCCGATATCGGGACCGTCCGCAACCAGGCCGAAGAGTGATCCCCCTGTTGGGACTTCCATAAGGCTACCTGACGCGGAGTTAAGGAGAAAGTGGAATCCGCAGATGCAGTGACCTTCGTGAAATATATATCTGCCAACTTTTTCATGAGTTTGGGGGCAGCGATCTCACTAGGGTTACTCAAAAGGTCGGTCTCCGCAGCGCTGTTAAAAAGACTAAGAGCACCATCGAAGGCCGGTCCCGGACCAACAATACTAGAATGGCGAAGAAGCGTAGCCTGAAGACCAGAAGACTGCAGACGCGATGCAAGGAAAGCATAAATCCGAACATCACCCGCTGAATAGACACCCAAACCACCATAAGAAAAAGGTAAGGTGGCAAGTCGTCATTGCCAATCACCAAAGTCAAGCCCCGAAGCTGTTACAATGCGCTCCAAAGAAGCCCGAAGGGCCAAGTCAAAAGAAACTTGTGCTGTTTCAAAAAGACGAGGAGGACAAGTGCGCATAGCAAAGTAGAGTTTTGAAACCCCAGTACACGCACGAAGAAGCAACAACTCGCATTGGGGATCATCGAGCTTAGCAACAGCATCCAGTAGCACAACGGTCTTCGACACTCTCTGTGAAACAAGCTCACCACAGAAAGAGGAATCAGCACTGATAGGGCCACCCAATAACTTAACACCATGCACAGGACGACCAATATCCGGAGGAAAGACACCGACGAGACGACTACGAGGGTCCTCCGAGGGCCAGAATAGTTCTTTTTTCTCAACGTTAACATGGAGTCCGAGACGAGGTCCTTCCGCCAAAATCAACTCCAAAACCTTTCCTACCACTAAGGTGTCACCAATAATAGTGCCATCATCTAAATACCAAGCTTGCAAACATAAGTCAAAAGAATCCCTGATTTGGCACACTAAAGGATGAAGAACCAAAGCAAAAAGCAAAGGGCCTAGAGGATCACCCTGTTTCACTCCCTGACATGACCATAAGGTATGCTCCCCATAAAAAAGCCTGGCTGGAGTAGAGTAACAGAATTCAACCCAACGCGAGAGAGCTGGACAACGGAGACGAACCTCAAGCAGCATAGCCGAACGGTCTACCAAATTAAAAGCATTCTTAAAATCCACCAACAACATAGAGAGACCAACATCACCACCACGCATCTCAACCAAACGATTAACAGCATGAAGAATAGCCTCACCACCCGCCGGCACCCCAACACCAAACTGAAGACCTCCTAGATAGCTTCCCAGACGCGGACCAATTAAAGCAACCCCAACCTTTGAAACTAGACGCCTCCAAACTGTACCTACAACAATAGGCCGAATACCACCTCCAGGCTTAACAAGTGGTGTGAGAGGAGCACTAGCAATATACTCTCCCAACTCAGCAGGACATTTCCCGACGAGAAAAAGATTAACCACCTGCGTAAAAGAGTCCACCAACTCATCTGAAATAGCAAGTGCAGCACCACTCAAACAATCCATAAGGTGTTGAGCACGCAGGCCGTCTCTACCGCATGACGTACCTCGTGGAAAACCCCTAATTTGATCCAAAACAACAGCAGGAGTAGCAATAAGGTGCTGATCAACTAGAATATCCGGTAAGATAGGAGCCGGAAAGGAAGGGTGCTTAGCTTGCAAATCTGCAAGAGTAGCATCATTGTAAGGGGCAAGACCAGAAGACGAAAGAACCCTAACCGCAGCAGTGTAATGCCCGTCTGAAATCTTTCTCTTACACTGCTTAATATTACGCTCGGACAAATCATGGTCCTCATCAGCGTCCAACAAAGGTGGAGACACATCAGCCAACGTGTCTCGTACAAGTTGCACAGAACCACCAGGCTCACACCAAGAACGAATAGCACCGGTGATACTCTCTTCCTGCCGCTGTCGCCTGACACCCTAAGAACACTCTCGACTACTCCTCGGAGAAAAGGTTTTAAGGACACATAGAGGCAACACAAGCAATTGAACCCAAAAAGAGATGTCATCAGGCTTGACAATCACCTTATCTAGGGCCCCTTTGAGAACCCGAGAAAAACCCAAGCGACACTTAGGAGGGATAGATTTTACCGAACGAAACCGCTTAGATAGCAAACTATCTATTAAAGCAACATCAAAAGCAAAATGAGGCTCACTAGGCACCCTAGGTACAGTACCAGATACAGTAGGACCCTGCGGTTTAGGAAAACCATAAAGAACAAATCGAACAACACCATCCCCAGAATCAGGAGGGGCCACGAAGTCATTAGAACCGTACCATGCCGACACTTCGTACGAAGAGAATGTGTCTTGAAACACTCCCCACAAAGCCAAATGCCCATACGACGAAAAGTTGACTCCGCCTCTAAGAAAATTGCCAAATCAGAAGTAAGTGTATTTCAGGTCAAATCCCGCGCATTCGAACAACAATGGCAGTCACGGAGATGAGTGATCAAAGAAGTTTTAGTGAGCCCATTACCCCTACCATCTTGACACCCATTAAGTCCCACGAACGGGCAATGAAAGAGAACACTAGGAGGCATAACCCCCACCACAACTTGCCACAAGAGAATCGCAATACACCACACGCAAACTGCACAAAAAATGCCCCAAAAACGCAGCAAAGCAGCACCAAAAGAGACCAGAAACTTGCACCCAAAAAGCACCAAAACAGCACCCAAACTGACCAGAAAAGCACACAAAAAACGAACCAGAAACTGCAGCAAATATAGACCGAAACACGCTTGAAAACTAACCTTAAACACGCCAGAAAATGCAGTAGAAACAGACAGAAAACTGCACCCTAGAGCAGCCAAAACTGCACCAGAAACTTCCACAAAACACAACCAAAAACACACGCAGAAACAGCCTGAATTTCGCCTCAGAATCGACCAGAATTTAGCCTGAAAACAGCCCACAAAAAGCCCCAAAAACCAGCCTCAAAAATGCCCGGAAACAACCCCGAAAACGCCGCCAAGAAACTGCTAGAAACACGCCCAGAAACTGCCATAAACCAACCAAAAACTCAACCAAAAACAGCCCGTAAAACCGCCAGCCAACTGCACCGAAACAACCCCTAATACTGCCTTAAAAATCGTCGGCGGAAAACACCTTAAAGCCACTTTAATTCTGCCGGAAAGCCCCCTTGAAAACCACCTTAGAATCGCACCCAAAAGCCGCCCAGAAACAACCAACGAAACTCACTGAAACTTGGCCGGAAAATGCTTGCTAAACGCCTAGAAAATGACGAGCACAAACCCTGACACCTCGCTGGTGATCATGCCGGAAAAAAGACGTGGAAGATCGGAAAATCCTAAACCTACCCAACCCTAATTGCCCCAAGCCGAGAGAAAAATTAAAATATTATTATTATTGTTATTGTTATTGTTATTGTTATTGTTATTGTTATTGTTATTGTTATTGTTATTATTATTGTTATTATTATTATTATTATTATTATTAAATATTAATTATTATTATTAGTAGTAGTATTTATTTATATATTATTATTATTATTATTAAATATTAATTATTATTATTATTATTATTATTATTATATTATTATTATTATTATTATTATTATTGTTACTACTACTTCTAATATTATCGCATTATTATTATAATCATTAAATTTTTAAAGTTAAATATTAATTATTATTATTATTATATTATTTATAATAATAATTATTATTATTAAATATTATTTAATTATTATTATTATTAAAAATTAATAATTATTATTATCTTTAAATATTAGTTATTATCTTAATATTAATTGTTATTGTAAAAATCAATTATTGTTATTATAATTAATATTATTAGTTATTAAGTATTATTATTACTATTAGTATAATTACTATTATTATTACTACTAAATATTAATTATTATTATTATTATTATTATTATTAATTTTTTTATTATTATTAATAAATATTAATAATTAATTATTATTATTATTATTAAATATCAATAATTAATTATTGTTATTATTATTATTATTATTATTAAGTATTAATTATTTATTATTATTAAATATTAATTATTTATTATTTATTATTATTTTTATTAAATATTAATTATTATTATTAAATATTAATTATTTATTATTATTATTAAATATTAATTATTATTATAATAATTCAATATTAAGTATTAATTTTAAGTAGAGCAGAGCAGATTTCAGCAAAGCAGCTCTAAAGAATGGAGCCTAAACAAGATAGTATTCACTTGTGAGTTAGCTTTAAACGATTGATTTAGTGCATACGTGCTATAATTAATTCATAAGATTTTTACTTTGGTACAACTCAAACAAATTTGGATATAAATTATATATATATGGGGAAAATATATATATATATGGGGAAAAATATATATAAATGCAACTTATTCTTTAAAAATGAGGATTATTATTATTATATTTTTCTTGTTCATTTGAATTTTCTTAATGTTCAAACAAGTTCATTTGAAAGCAACATAAAAAGCCAACGATGCTATGAGTCAACTCAGGGAAGGCGCACCCACTTAGCACATGAAATAAAATTTAGTTAGAATACAACTAACAAGTTTAGATATAAATCATATGTAACTTATTTTTTTGAAAAATTTTAAAATTCGTTTCTCATACAATATAAGGTATTAGATATACGGAGTATAATTTAATAAAGGGTAATGCTACATGCAGCCTTATACTTTCTTTTTTCGTATTAGGTTGGGAATTTAGCAACAATTCACTAGTAAATCGATGTAATAAATTTATTTATTGTCAATTCTTTCCATTTTAGCTTTTTATATACAACCCTAAAAGCCGCATTTATCTTTTCCTTTAATAAAATGTGATAAATAAAGCTTCCCTATACTTATTTAGTTACAACCCTTCTTATCTTGTACCACTAATCAGTAATCACATGCTTGCAATTCTGTACTTACATTAACCATTTGTCTAAATGTGTGAATTAACAAGTGTGAAAATAAAAACGTTACAACCATATAAAACAAGAATACGGAGTACGGAGTATTATCATTATGACCCTATCTTATATCAATACATAAATGTTGTGAATATGGATACAGTCCAACCACTCCTAGCTAATTGATGAGTAATCAAATGACATCCATGTTACTTGTAACTTAATAATCACGGATAATTAAGCTAATTAAATAGCTGGCCCCTGTTTCTTAAAGAGCACAGTTTGTAGTTAGAATTAAATTGTTGCGTGGACAAATGGTTATTAAGTTTCAACAATCTTGAAATTTGAAAGTGTATCTTTTTATTTAATAATCATTAACCTTGATTTACTCAATGAATTAATATGTTAATAAGTTCCAACTCCGAACGATGTTTTGGATTATTGGGTACGGAGTACTTAGAAAAATAATTCATTTGTTTATTTATTTATAAAAAATTAAAAAAAAAAATATTGAAGATCACAATATGCACACTAGTCAATTACCTTTCCCTTACACCACTTTGAAAAGGACCTAACTAGTGTAGCTTAAATTGGATTTTTCTAGGATATCTATCTTTGTTGCTTTTCCTTTTTAGGCTCCAGTGCTCTATGATGTGTTCATATTCAATGTAGAAGACTCAACGACTTTTTTTTCCCCCTTCTTCGAGAGTATCCATTAGAATTGACAAAAGCACAAAACTAACTCATAACATTGAATGACTCAGATACTCATCTTAGACATTGTTTTAGAGTTAATATGAAACTACATGACCTAATCCGAATCCATATTGAATGACTCGGATACTCATGAACAGATACATGTCAAAAATTCTAGCTTAGCTACTTCGTGAAGATATTATACTATTTCAACCCAGTGTCTATATCCTTATTAGAGTTTTGGTAATCCGGCAAAGGTACTTGAGGTGGAGATGGAGAGTCCGAGTATCATAACTAATAATACTTCATATCTATCACCCAAATAAGATATACTAGTAATCGAATTTCTCCAAAACTAAAACATGAGCTTTATTATTACACAAAAACTTGTCATTACTCAACAGTTCATGAAAATCCTAAAGCCAAATCAAATTATTACAAAAAAAATAATTGGCAGGCCAACTGATAAGATATGTCTCAAATAAGTGTGGAGAGGCAAATCATGGAAAACAGTCAAAAACACAGGTCAACTGAATCAATGGTTACATAGAACAAATCACTAGACCCCATTTCAATTGTCACACTACTCTGTCTAACTTGTATAGAAGGGAGTCATTTTTGTTTCATTCACCAAATAGACATACATTTGCTTTTGGTTGAGGATATACTGTTTCTAGTTTCTGATAGTAGGCCCTTTTCATCTGGACTTTTGTAACTACTTCAGATCAAAACAACGGGAAAACGTTGAAGATTTAAGCATGTAGAAGTCCCTAAGTTGACAAATTTCAGCCTAATCATATCGCTAAACCTTATGAAGTTCATGTAAGTTATGCGAATGTTCTATTTTCTACCATAAGGAGGAAGTAAATGATATCGAAAACAAATAATTAGGCCGACTCTCGTGTATATGGGAAGTAATAAGTCATAATTTCTATGTCTAATCAAACAACCACTAAGGCTTTTTAGGCATTTAAGGGTTTTTTTCACATGAATTAGTTAACCATTTATCCTACCTACAACTTTACAAGCAAATTTCAAATTAATGTGGTTCTCAACCACCACACAGGAATATCAACTCTAGGGAATAACATGACGTGTTATTCTATACTACATAAAAAAAAACGACGCTTTCCCAATTCATAATCAAAGATTTGATACAATCTTACCAAGAGATTATTATGGCTAAATCATTCTTCTATAGTAGCTGGAGCATTCTCACCCTAGACTGATTTTTCAATTTTTATCTAGGCAAAAACATTTTCAGGCAACTTTTTCCAAACATCCTAATATAATGTACGCAACGTTGCAACTTATTATCCAACAAAGGGAGTAATCAACTAATCAGGAAGGATCACAGATGAAGCGATTCTAGGCTACCTAGTAATCTTCCCAACATTACGAGAGCAGGTCTTCCAACCATGTCTATATACCAAAAATTTAAATGAAAAGTATTCTGTCTACAACTTAATAATCTACTACTATATCTAACATTACCAAATCAATCACCTAACATTCCTCCAATGACAATAAACATTGCATCTAACACCTAAGACAAAACAAGTAGTTTTACAAAGTACTTGTTTATCCCTGGAATCTTACAAAAAATTGGTACTTCCAAGTATTCCAATGGCTTAAAACAGAGTAATTAAGCTTAGTTTAAGTATGCCAACTAATCGCGAGCACATTTTTTAGTTGAAAATATAGCTCACGAGTGGTTGATATATATTATATATAACATCGGGTCAGTTATAATAAAATTTCCAACCACAAAAGTCCAGAAAATTCCAATCAAAAGGACTTCATAAGAAGTTGAACAATTCAGATCATACCACAAATAACATCTCAAATTAATTAATGGTCACGTAAACTCCTACTTCACGGTGTCTCCAAAAAATTATTAAGTTTTCTAGATTAAATTTAGTCATCATCCCATTACAAACAGTTAAGACAATGCGACAAATAATTCCATGACGGAGAGAATTAGATTATCAAACGATTATAATGGGGTTGTGACAACATGACAATTTCTTCCCAAAAAGCTTCTGTATTCAGCTTCATCAAAAGATAAAGTTACACTGCCATTAATCTAAAAGTTGGAGTAAAAAGGAACATAATTCACATCATCAGATAGCAAAACCCAGAGACAATTAATTAAATACACAGGAAAACAAAAGAAAAAGCAAAAGCCTAATCTAAGAACTTTAGTATATAAGTGGGGTCAAAATAAAATGATAAAAAGTTTATAATAAGAAAAAAATAAAGGAATACCTTCATAATTATCATGTAGCTTGACCTTTATGAGTCCAAGGCAAATTCATACTATTATCAACAGAAAAACCACTAAATTCTGTGTTTGAAGAATTGGTAGATTTACCCTTTTTAGACCATAACCATATCTTTGAAACTGAAAGACTCTCAGTTTTACTGCCAATATTTATCTTTCTAGCTTCAGCATCCCCAAAATTATGATCAGCAGTCAAATTACCATTTTTACCCTTGATCATCTTCAATTCAGCACCTTCATTTGATGGATTTTTTGGACATAATGCAACTTGAAAAACTGAATCAGCAACAACATATTGATATGAACCCATTGAAAAACACCTCCTTGCATCCAAATTACTACTGCTCGTTTCGCCCACATTCGAATTTCTATCATTAATTTTCCCTCTTTCAAGTACATGTAGTTGATCTTGCACTTCTACAACCTCTTCATTGTTGCAATTATGATTGTTATTATTATTACTTGTGCTCTTAAATTTGCCAAGTCTAACAGGAAAAACCCTCCTCTTATCACTAGAAACCTCAATTTCAACCCCCTTCTCCTCATCCCTCGAATCATCGAAATCGAACACCGGGTTTTCAATAGCCACCCCAGGAGTGTACAGAGCACCCCTACAAAGCGGACAAGTCGAATTTGACAACAACCATGTATCTATACAATCAATATGAAAGGCATGACTACACAATGGTAATAACCTTAACTTGTCCTGCTCAGTAAACTCACACAAACACACTGCACAATCAAATGGCTCTTTTAAACCCACAATTTCTTTGTACTGAAACACAGGCAGTGCATCTATAAATGCTTGGTCTAACCCTGAATCATGAAGCTGGAAAAGCTGCTGTAATTGCCTTTGAACTGCATCAGAACTCGAAAAATTTTCCGGGTATCTATTTGATTGGGAATATGAGGAAGATGATGAAGATCTTTGTCTTACAAAAAATCTAACTAATAAATGAAGCAACCCAGAAATGAAGAAAATTACTGCTAATATTATTATAATGAACAATATTGCAGGGCTAATTTTGCCGCCACCGGAGGCGGATGGTGATGGCGGTGGTAGCGACGGCGGTGTTTGCGGTGGTGTGTCAAGATTACTTGAAAAAGATGACATTTTGAAAATTTGGGCATTACCCAAGATTATACCCCTTAATTACATTAGATTTGGGGGGTTTGACTTTTTCTCAAGAACCCATTTTCAAATTCATGATTTCTGACAAAACCCAAGTCATATATATATATTTTTTTTTCTTATTTACTAAGAAATTGGAAGCAATTTAGGTGAGATTAACAGCGAAAATGAGGAGAAAGAAACAATCTTTACTTCAAATGACAGTAAAAACCAATTCTTTAACAGAAAAAAATAGTACCCAGTTCAAAATTTGGGGTAATTTTTCAGAGTAAAAGGGTAAAAACCTCACCTTTTTAGATTTTTGCAAGTGAAGTTGAACAAAATCTTGAATTTGTTGGTGTTGAATGAGGCTTCAATTGAAATTGAGAGAGAAAACCCTAAAAATTCCAAGATTCTTTCTTTCGTTTTAATGTGTTTTTTTTTTTTTTTTTTTTTTTTTGGTTTTGGGTTTTGGGTTTTGTAGTGGGGAGAAAAGTTGGAGGAAAATCAGAAGTTCAACTTACTTGTGTTGGAGGAGAAAGAGAGAAAGGAGTGAAGAAGTTTTTGGGATGTTCCAAAAAGGATGGTTAATGGTGAGAGCCAATAAGAAAGGTGGAGGTAGGCCCAATTTTGTGCTTCATAGAATATAAAGGGGCTATATTCGTAATTTTAGTGTAAGGTTTTTTTTTTTGGTACAATGTACACTTGCTTAGATTCTCTTGCTTCTTTACGAGTCCTTATCTCAGAGAGCAAAGGATGTCACTTTGTGTAGACTAGATGTGAAAGTAATATGACTTTCGTCATTCTCTTTGGACTTGTTTGGTTGAAGCTTGAAGGTAAGAGCAATTTCATGGAAATTAAATTATCATGTAATTTAATTTTTTGGAAATTCTAATAAATATTTGGATAATTTTAGAAAGTGAAAAATCCCATGAAAACTCCTATTTATCTAGGTTTTTAAATAATCAAATTCTTCTATTTTGTAAATTCTCATGAATATGTCAAAAAAAAATGAAATTTTTTATTTTCATCAACCAAACGACAGCTTTATTATTATTTTTTAAAATTTTATTTCTCTTTAAAAATGAATTTGGTTAGTATATCTAGCTCTTTCATAATTAGAATGATTAGTCATAGAATTTCCCATGATCCATAATTTAAAATTGTCAAATAAGGAAACATGGATGATTTCCTAAGTTTCCTCTAGGTTTTCTCTTTGGGAGGGTTTTTTTGGTTTCCTCTAGGGTTTTTTCCTTGGGAGGGTTTTTCCAGCCTCCATTGCTAGATTTTCTCTGCTTTTTTGAAGGTTTTCCTTCAATCTTCTCCTTCGTTCTCTCTGTTTCTCTTCCATCTTTTTTCTTCTGGTCTCAATTGTAAATTTTTTAGAGGCTTCCACCGGTGGTAAGCCCCAAATTATTTTTTTTTAATTGCTTTCAATAAAGGATCACATCTGTATGGTGGTGTTTATTCTATTAGGTTTAATTTATTTGTTTGTTCGTTTGTCAAAGGCTGAAGAATTAGGGTTTCACAATTTCCAAAGTATCTAAAAGGCCATATGAGTTTTTTCACCCAAACAACTATTCATTCGTGGATCTTGAGTCAAATTAGTGCTAACTCACATATTGTATTGCTTCGGATGAAGATTTTTATAAAGGCGAACGTTGATCGAATATGCAATGTAACTAGTTCTCAGGTGAATTGTATTTGTGTTGGAGTTTTAGATTTACTCGAAATTGTTTGTAAGTGTCGTTAAGCTATCTTTCATTAAAGAAATCTTTTTCTTCTTGTCAAAAAAAATTGTCAAATAGGGAGTTTGGATAGCAAGGAACAAAGTTGTGTTTAGATACATATCATAATTCACCACAAGTTTAGTTATTGTTTATAATGAACACCTTCTGCAGTACTCCTTCCGTTCTTTTATTAAGATCTTATTTAGGTTTTTTTTACGAGAAATAAGATATTTGTAGATTCTTAAAACTAATGATTGGGAGTACAAATATGCATGTGGGTTTATAGAGATAAATAGAAAGAAAAGTAGTTAGGTATTATTGATGAGAATGATAGAGAAAGTGTTAAGAATTTATATCAAAAATACAAAAAAGAAAAGGGAAAAAAAATGACAAATCATCAAAAAAAAAAGGAATAATATTGTTATAAAGTATAATATATAAATAGAAATAGAATCTTAATTTTGATTCTCCAAAATGAAATATAGGTTCTTAATAAGGATAGAAAAAGTAATACTTTTTTTTTTGTGCTCATATATAGGCCCTGTTCTCTTCACTTTTAAAAAAACAATATTAAGTAAAAATAATTTCAGTTCAGTAATGTAGGCGTCGCTCGAAGTGCGCCTACGTTAAAAGCATGTTGTGAATATGCTAGGCACTCATAGGAAGTGGGAATTGACATATACGATTAGGGACAAAAAAGTAGGGAGCCGCCAACAAGTTTTTAAGGAACTTGTAAACCGTTCACGGATCATAAAAAGGCAACCAGGATAAGGGACAACGAAGGCAACAACAATTGACCCGTGAAGGTTACACCCCATTCATAATCCATGAGAATACTAACTCCATATGGTTCGGAACCACGAAAGGAAGATCGAGGATGATGGTACGAAGTGAGTCATGGAGTCACATTCGCCCGTGTTGGCCTCTACTCGATTCTTATATTGAAAAACATTCCTGTGATCTCAAAGGCATACAAACAAAATATTCAATTCGCTCCAAACTATTATTTAGCTAAATTGGTTTAAAATTAATGCACACATAATTCTAAAAATTTGGTGATCACTTCAATTAATAACAAGATTAAAAGGATCCTAAACCGGTTGTCCAAATTATCTTATTAGGCGTGATTTTCAATTACATATTCCCTTTAAACATGCAATATGGTGATCAATAAATAATAGAATAAACATTAATATTAGAACCAATTTAATCACATTTCCAACAACATAAAAATCGTTAGAAAAAATAATAATAATAAAAAGAGCATGATCCTTACTTTGAATCTGTTTGCTTGCAACTACAAAATAATAAACGAGTTATTAACTTCAAGGAAATAATAAAACAATAACTAAATTAAATTAAATAAAATAAGGTTGATTTTGGGGCCAAACCCTCAAACGATTCTACCTTTCACGCCTTGGCTTAAGGACAGAACCTCGAGTAAAAATATGGACTCCTTTGAGTGCTTGAAAAAGGAATTTTGAAGTAAAAAGGGTAGGCTAGTGTTTAGGTTAATAGCATAGAAGAGAGAAAATAAGAATAACAAAATTCTGGTTGCCCCGTACATCAGAAATAAGGGGGTATTTATAGGGAAAATGTGATGAGGGAGCACACGGAACCCTAAAATGATAAAAACCCTAAAAAAGTATCCCGTGACACGGTCAGAATGTACCGTGACACGGTTAGACTGTACCGTCAGACGGTACACTTTCCCGTGACACGGTACAGTTTTGGAGTGACGTGGGAAATTTTCTGAAAACGGAATGAAAAACGCGTTAAGGGTTTACGCGGAAAGGACACGGAACGTCCCGTGTCACGGCAGACCTCCTGTGTCACGGGAAGTCCCACCGTCAGACGGGAAGGGTTCCCGTGACACGGTCAGACTGTACCGTGACACGGTCACTTCCAGTCCATTTTTCCGTCTAAATTCATTTTTAACCCTAATTTCTTTCGGCTTTTTAAGTGCCGATTGATAATTTTGGGCTTTTTTCTGACTTTTATTACTCGGGCTAAAATAAGAAAATAATAAAATAAAAATAAATAAAAATGTTTGGGCCAAAAATAAAAAATAAAATAATAAAATAAAAAGGTTTGGGCTTAAAATTAATTAATAAGCTTGGGCTAAAATTAAAACTATGCTTTTACCAAATATCAAGACTAATCCATGGACCTTTCAAAGGTATGAATTTAATAAAATACGATTTTTTAAGCACTCTCTGGATTAAATACTAAACCCGACCAATAGAGGCGGTGAAAGGTTATTTATCATCGGGTTTGGTTTTGGGGAGACATTTTTAGGTGTCTACAGAAGCCCCCACTTTGACTGAGTTTGTAGAAACGTTAGTTTCGAAAACGATAGTCAAAGTAGTCGATAGGGACGAAGAATGATTTAAGACGTTCTGCGATCCTAAATCATTCTGTATACGCCGATACCTGCAGAAAAATGTTAATTCCACAGATAAAAGAGTAACGGGATAGAATACGTATCTGGCACCAGTGTGTCGGTGACAAACGAATTTGGCAACTTCCTAAGCTTGAAGGAATCTACCGAGTGACATTGGTTGAAACGCTTTCCATGCTTGAGGAAAGCCGACTGAAGAGTTTGGCAGTTTTCTAAGCCTGAAGAAAGCTACCGGATAATACCTTCCATGCCTGAGGAAAGTCGACGAACGAATTTGGTGTCATTCTATGCTTGAAGAATTCCACCGATAATGCCTTCCATACTTGAGGAAAGCCGACAAAGGAATTTTGTGGTTTTCTATACTTGAAGAAAAATCTACTGATGATGCTTTCCATGCCTGAGGAAAGCCGACTTGGCGGTTTTCTATACCTGAAGAAAAATCCACCGATAACGCTTTCCAAGCCTGAGGAAAGCCGACTTGGCGGTTTTCTATACTTGAAGAAAAATCCACCGGATAATACTTTCCATGCTTGAGGAAAGTCGAAAGATGATGAGATTGCAAGTCTTTGTGTATCAAGAACCTTGCGTCATGAAATGATGGTGGTCCGCTTGTCCCCGGACGTGGGCTGTAGATGGTCCGCTTGTCCCGGACGTGGGCTGTAGATAAGACCTGCAAAAATAAATTTGCCAATGGACTCGTATATACTGTGATTGACTTGACCACTAACTTGACCAAGTTTGACTTGATGTGACATGACATGTGTATGACTTGTGAGTGTGTGTGTGTGTGTATATGTGTGTGTGCAGACACAAGCAAACGAAGATGCAAAAACAAAAATTTTCCGTCAATTTTTGTCATGAAAGGAGGGTACCGACTTTCTCCCGAAAAAGAAAGATGTGAAAACTGAACTTTTATTTTCGAACTTCCTTCGATGAAAACTTGGAAAAAGTTTTTTGAACTTCCCCAAAATAAAATAATGAAAAGGGAGAGAAGTTTTGAACTTCCTCCTTGAGCAAGACGAAATGAATTGTATGGATTGAATTGCTTTTCTGAAAATAATGTATGCATGATGCAAGCTCTTAGGCCAGGAGGCTAAGGACTATTACATCATGTGACACGATAGATGAATGAACTTAAGTCATGGAGCTAAGCATCATATATGGTGTAAAGAAGCGATTTTGAACGTCACTTAGGTCTGGAAGCTAAGCACGTATATTGATTATTGCATAATGAACGTTGCTTAGGTCAAGGAGCTAAGCACGATATGCTTTGTATGATTAAAAATCATTGATATATAAATGTTTCTTAGAACATTATGTGAAACAATGAACATTGCTCAGGTCAGGAAGCTAAGCAAGTATACAATGTTTCTTCTGTTGTCTATAAATATGATGAAACATGCACAGTGTTGAAACAAGATTTCATGATAAAGGGCTCT